GCGATGTTTGGCCACTCGGGTGCGTCTTCACAGCAGGTCCCCACTTGGTTCTCCACATTCCAAATTCGGTATGAGGAGAACCAAGCTCGGTATGAGGAGAACCAAGCCCGGAATGACGAGCAGTATCGAGCCATCCACTCCGCAGTCGCGTCGCACAATGTGCGACTCGACTCATATATAGAGCAGAATGATGCCCGCGGGACGTCCTTCGTGGCAACCTATGACGAGCGTTGGGCGGAGCAACAGAGGGAGTGGAACGAGTTCAAGAGGACCAACGAGGCGCACTGGACAGCTCATGACAACCGCTGGGACACCTGGGAGGCGCAGCAGTACCAGCATCCACCGACACCACCACCGGACGCACAGTGACTTCTCATTGTGCTTTGTACGTTTTTCTTTCTCTTTTCCTTTTTATTCCTGTATAGCTTCTCTGATTTCGAGTCGGTTTATTATATGGTCAACTCTCATTCACGGCGAGTCGACAATGGGGACATTGTCCGATTTTAAGTGTGGGGGAGTTTTACGTGCTTACGTGACTACGTGGTAAACCTGTCTAGTTTTTCTTTTTAGGGTTGATTTTATTTCTTTCTTTTGTTGGTGGTCCAGTCTAGTGTAGGTTTATGTGTTTTTGAGTTGGACATTGGTGAACATCGAGACTAGTTTGTGATTGGTTAATGACGTTGAGAAGTTGTGATGATGATCTTGAGTGGCATATTTTGATTTGTGGCTCGATTGCTTTGGTTAACACTCATACATATATATACCCGGTGAGATTTGAGCCATATTCATTTCTTGTGCGATATTGGTCTAAATGTTGAATAAATCAGAACTTGCCTTGAGTCTGCTGTGAAATAAGTTGATCGGATTTGTGATAGGTGAACATGATAAAGGCATTCTTTGCTGTTTGTATATCCTTTTTCTTCTTTCGGAAATAATTTTCGCTAGTCACCCCCTTTGAGCCTTACTTCTTATTTTCGTTGTTGACCCCGTGTTGATAATGTTTGGGAAGTGGATCGTGTTGAGTATCGAAGTTGTGAGGGTGTTGATTATCGAAGTTCTCATTTAAAAAAAAAATAAATAAAAAATAAAAAAAATAAAAATAAAAAAACCTAACGGATTATACTCTAAGTGCTCCAACCGTTCAATTACCGGTCACGAGCAATGAGTACGGGAAACCGGTCTAGGAGACTCGGGCAGAAAACCCGATGGCTAAACCTAGATAAGATGTCCATAAGGTTTCAAGAAAAAAAATATAATAATAATGTGGAAGTGTGTTGGTTTTGGTGAAGGATGGAGGACCGGTTAATACCGGAGGAGTTGTTGATTATGGTTGAAGTGATGAGTTGTGATATATGCTATATATTTGAGCCACTTGACCTATATTTATCTTACCCGACCCGTTAAGCCTACATCACGTCCATAAAAGTCCTTTTGATTCACTGTCTCATTGATTTGATTGATTTAGAGTAGTGGTTAGATGATAGGCAAGCGTATGATCGATTTGGCTGACGACCAATTTGAGTGCTCCATCTTTTATTTTTGCAAGAAAATGAGTGAGGCATTATATCATATCTCCATTCTAGAGAGGTTGTGTTATCATGTGATAGAGTTCATTGTTGAGGTGTGTTCTCGAGATCATTGGAATTCTTCTTAACTTAGTTGATCAATCTGAGACTTTTTGTTGGGTTCGCTATACCGCACGGGGTCAAACGCAGCGGAAATTAAACAAAAT